GAGGCGACTTTTGTTGTGATTTGGCACTATATAAATAAAATTGAATTGAATTGAATTGAATTGAAGTGTTTCTGCAGCCAAAGCTGTCGCCCCCTGCTGGCTGCTCAGGAAGAAAAAAATGCTTCATTTGTCCAGAAGCTCCGCCCATGTTTGTTTGTGTTGTAAACACTTCAAACCAGATTCCAGTTTTAACTATTCATTTACTACAGTGAGATTTAAAAAAAGTCACTTAAAGTGAGTCTAAGTCTGGTTTAACTCCAGTTTCGGGGTCTCACTCTGCACCGTGTCAGGTGTGAGCACTTACTCGGGTCAGGCCTGATCCTGAGTGTGATGGAGACTTGGAGGCACCTGCTGACAAACCTGCAGGCAGAAGTGGACAGAGAGACGTCAGAGGAGTGCTCCGTGGTGAAAGTGGGGAATGTGAAGGCGGTGGCTGTGTGCAAGCGCTCTTACTGCCGTGCATGTGTGTTCTGTCGGGCAATGACTGCGTCTTCCTCCTGAAGTGGACGGCTTTCTCTTTCTCCTCCTTCAGGATCAGACGGCCCAGGTTGGACTTGATCTGAGTGGCCACAAAACTGCGGGTCAGATGACGCTTTTAGTCAAAATGTGAATCTGGAAAAAGGGGGGCGACGGTCACAAACCTTCTCCAGCTCCTGTTCCTGTAGCGTCTTCGCTTCTTCTGTGAGGTCCTCAAACTCGTCTTCCTCCTGCAGCTCCTTCTTCTTCTTCCGCCACTCAATCTCTGCGGGGTTTAGCCTCAGTGTTACCAATGACCTCACAGCACAGGTGTGTGTGTGTGCGCACATGTGTGTGTGTGTGTCGGTGTGTGCTACCCATGGCGGCCAGTGAGGGTGGGCAGGGCCAGTACTCGGTCTCAATCTTGGAAGGCTGGTTGGGATCTGGCGGCTGGGCTGCGGGAAACTTTGCTGACTGGATGACGCCGCTGCCCTCGCCGTGTTTGTGAGCGTCTGTGGAGACAGCATGAAGTTGCTGAGTGATGAAGCAGTGACAGACACACACACAGTGAGGAAGAGGAGGAAGAGCTCACCCTGTTTGTAGATAGGAGGCTTCCTGTAAATGTTGGTCCCGTTATCTGAAAAAATGCATAAAAACTTTTTTGTACGGTTTCTCCAATGTTTCCTGTCTTCTTTTTTTTGCTGAAGACAGTGCAGAACTCTAAATATCTCAAATAAAAGACTAAAAGATAATTAAAGAATGTTTTTGAGCTGTTTATCTGGCCGAACACATGAAATAAGCCAAAGTGGTGATGAAGGGTCAGAAATATGACTTTCACACCGGCTACGAGTCTTTAAATGAGTCTGCAGCTTGAGGATCTTACGTGGTCAGGACACATGAACAAAACAGCGAAGAAGGTGCATTAGCGCCTCTTCTTTCTCAGGAGACTGAAAAGATTTGGCATGAGCCCCCGCATCCTCAGGACCTTCTATCGCTGTGCCATTGAGAGCATCCTCACTGGATGCATCACCACCTGGTATGGCAACAGCACTGCTCACAACTGCAAAGCTCTTCAGAGAGTAGTGCGGTGATCTGAACGGATAATTGGAGGTGAGCTTCCCTCCCTCCAGGACATCTACAGGAAGCGGTGCCTGAGGAAAGCGGGGAGGATCATCAAGGACTCCAGTCACCCCAGCCATAAACTGTTCAGACTACTTCCATCAGGAAGGAGGTTCTGCAGCATCCGGTCCCGAACCAGCAGACTGAGAGAAGCTTTTTCCACCAGGCCATCAGACTGCTGAACACTCAATAGACACCTCACCCTCACTTACCAGAACTTCAACATTATTCACTCCATACTGTATATAAATGCCACTTGTTTTGCACATGTCCAACTGCCAACCTCTGTATATTTTATTTTATTGTTTATTCTATTTAATTTTTTAAAAAATATACACACACACACACACACACACACACACACGTAGATATACATATTTAGTATACACATTCAGTAATGCGCATACACTCTTATATTGTACATATATTTATTCATGTAACTCTGGTTTACCCATTCTTATATTTTGCTTGTTCTTATGTTATTGTATTTTTGCACACCTCTGTTGCTTGTGAAGCTTGCACACAAGAATTTCACTCGCATGTACTGTACCAGTGTACCTGCACATGTGATGTGACAGTAAAAGTGATTTGATTTGATTTGATTTGAGCGCACAAACTCAGACACACGGCTGCTTTGCCTTCAGGGTTGAGAAAGGTTTTAGGGTTAATGAGTCCTGACAGCCCTCAGGTGTGTGTGTGTGTGTGTGTGTGTGTGTGTGTGTGTGTGTGTTACCTGGTCGGTGGAAATGCTGCAGGCTCGTGCTGATCTTGCGTCCAGCCTGCAGCTGCAGCGTGGATCCTCCAGGAGAACCGCTCTCACTTTCTGCCCTGCGCCCCTTCACCTGGAAGCAAACAGAGTCTTTTAACCTTTAACGGCCTGACAGGTGAGCTCAGACCAATCAGTGAGTCAGAACGTCAGCATGGGTCACATGATTGACCGTGAGAATTTTGATGTCTAAATCAAAGAGGCCCATAAAACAAAGCTGCTGTGTGGCCTCTTTGGCTGACAGGTGGCTGTAGTGTAGCTTTTTAAAGGTGTTTTCCTTTGGTGGATGATGTAATCCAGCTCGTCCAGCTCATGTTCTTGTTCACACAAAAACTGGACAGGTTCTGATCCCATATAAACTTTTAAGGATTACCAGTAATTTAATTGGGGTGCAGGGGGCACTGAAATTCACTTAAAATAAAGGAACTTTAAATAATTATTTATTTAAATTTTTTAATTTTCATTGTTTTTGCTTTTTCACTGACCTGACAACAAATCACCATCATTTACAGAAACACTGTGGACGATGTCCTTAAGTCATAACATTTAAATAATTTCAAAGAAGGTAAAAATAAAGACTATTTACAATTTTTCCAATGTGATTTAATGAGCTGGATTTGCTTTAAGTTTTAATAATTTAATTGTCATCTACTATGATTGTATTTATCATTCTTAATTCAAAACCTTTTTTTAAAACCAATGTCTTGACTTTACTTCCCAGCTCACACTTTTTTATATAATTGTTTTCTGTATGAATAAAAATTAAAGTCCTAAATATAAACATATTGCATGTATGACATGCAATGCATCATAAATAAACTTACAAAACAAGTATTTTAATGTAAGTATAGGACAAAGTTTGAAAACTGAAGTCCAGGTGCAAGTTTGTTATTGTCTTAAGTTTATCAGTTCTAGTTTTCTTCTTGGAATAACTTTTCTTTATTACATTTTTTTTCTTTGTAAATTTTGAATCCGGCCTGGGATCAGGGTAATCCTGATATTTTGGAAATCATCCTGATCCTGTTCCAGTGTTTTGAACAACACAAACTGAAGGTTTAATCCAGATAAAAAAGTTGGACTGGATTACTTGATCTTATCCGAACATGTAATCCTGTTTTTCCTTCAAACAACACTATTTCACTTTTGACCAACTGGACCTGTGGAACATGTTTGTGCTGTAAATGTATTTTTTACTAATTAAAGTTAAAAAAAGGACCCAAACAGAGTGATTTCTGCACAGATGTCCCGTCCTTTAAATCTGGACAGAAACGGAGCTCCTATTTTGTTTTGCCCTTCGCGCTCTGACTGAGGGGAGTTTCCAGCCGTCTGAACAGAGGTCCTTCTGTTCCCCGGCTAGCGAGTGTCACGGTTTCAACACTGCGGTGAAGACAAAGCTGCGATTAAAAGCTGGACGAGAACAAGTACAAACCACTGTTTTCCTAAAAAGCCGAGTTCACGAACCACTTGAGGTTTCAGAAAGGTCAACGAATGCTGTGGCACCAAGAAATGAACCAATGAACCACCAATCAAAGCTTGTGTGTGAGTCTTATCGACCACAGATGCAGGTCTACTCAGTGTCACAGGGTCAGGTTAACTCGGGTGGGCGGGGCTTTGTTCCAGACTCCAGGTCACCGGACCAGAGCATTAAAGAAAAGCCTGGCCTGAATGAACAGGTGGAAAATGTAAGCACTGCCACTTCATTAAAAACAGTTTATATCCCTGTGGCCTGAAGGTGTAGAAGAAACCGGGATGGAAATGAATAATGGAGCTGGGTTATTACCACCAGCAAGGACTGATGAGGGCTTACCTCAGGAGACATGGTTGGAGACAAGGCTGGAGACGTGGATGGAGGAGACAGAGATCTCTGCAGAGAACACAGATATGAACAGTCATCATAGATGCTGCAGGGATTTAATAAAATCCAACAGCTGGAGGCATCAAACAGGCCTCAGGATTACATTAGTGTCAGTAATAACCTGTAAACACACACCTCTTTGTACACACACACACACACACACACACACACACATTTTTTCAGCTGATATTCTTTTAATAAATGTGCACTCAATAATATAGAAAAAAACCCCTGTATATTATGAAGAAAATTAAAGTTAAAATCAAAAAACGTAAAGCATATCTATGAAATATGATCATTAAAAAGTAAAAGTTTTATCTGATCTTCCTTTAAGGATTATTCCAGATTATTCCTTTCCTCTGACTTTAAATATGATGTCAGGATTTTAATGACAGCATATCAGCGCCATCGAGGGGAAACAGGAAGTGATGTGACTCCAGTTTTTTTTTATAATATTTATGAGAAAAGTGTTAAATTGGCAGAAGAAGCTGAAATGGAAACTGTCTGTTCTGATTTTGTCGACTGTCCCTGAACGCTGCTGTATCAGTGCTGTCAGTCGGGGTCAGAGGTCGGCTCATTTGACAAATGGACTAGCAGCAGTGTTTAAGTCAAATATTTCAGTTTCAGGGTTGAAAAGTGAAGCAATAACGTTCCTTAACTACTAAAGAATCCAAACCTGCACCTCTCTGCGTGGCGGGTCGAGCGGGGAGAAGCTCAGGTGGGGTTGGTAGGTCATCAGGTCCGGTCTCTCCACCTGCAGGATGGCTTTATCTCTGGGCAGCGCCGCCAGGTCTCTGTAGCCCACCACCTGGTCATTGACACGGGCCTGACAGAGAGAGTTCTTCATTTACCACGAGCACTCCAAGTATCATCACAAAGATTACTTAAAGATACAAATACAAGTACTCCATGTATAAAAGGGTTTAATTTTACTGGGTAGGATTACAACTGGTTAACAGCCCGTTACTCAACATAAAAATTCAACATTCAACATAAAAATAAAAGAAGAACTAAAAGAACTAAAATCATCTGATCAGAGCTCAAATTTCAACAAACAAAAAAATCGTACATGCAGAACTTTGACCGTAAACGCTGCCACCTTGTGGTGAAAGTCTGCATTTTGCAGAGGTTTTTACAAAAAGTACGTTTACTAAAAGTAGAAAATGTCAGTAAAATAAAGTAAATGTGTTAAAATCATGTTTCCATGGATGAAACGAGTAAATAAACATCTGAACGTCTGAGCAAGTGTGACGTTACCACGATGCCCGTCGCCGGAGACCCCGGGGTGCTCGGGCCCCTCGAGGACGGCAGGTTGACCGGAGTTACCCGTCCCTCCACCTGCCAAACAGCCAATCAGAAGAGACAATCAGGAAGTGAAAACAGTCCAGTTTATTGGCACCACTTTAAAGAGCAGGTGAAAACCACAAACAAACCAGAAGGAGAAGAAGATCTGACTCGACAGCAACAACAGCTTGTTTCAGACAGATGATGGTCATGAAGGATTATTTTGAGCTGTGAATCATGCAAAGCTGCAGCAGTGAGAATACATCCACTTTAAGGTGTGAATGAACTTTCAGAGTGACAGACTGCTCACTGAGCTCAAGTCTTAGTGTGAACCTCATTGTGCAGCAATATTTTAGGTGTAAGTGTGGTGATGATTACGCTCCAGCAGTGACTCATTACCTTCTGCATAGCTGTGGACACGGAAGTCGCTCCAACCTGATTTAAGCAGCTGCAGAGGAAAAACAGAGAGAGGGTTAGTGAACGCATCAGCTGCTCCAACGAACGAGCTCGACTCATCTGATCCAGAATCAGAGGAAGAGCAATTTCTCTCACAGCACAGCCTCAGACATGATGTCAACTCATTTCCTTCCTGAAACCACTAGAAACATCCAGGAAGAAACAGAACAGGAGGAAACAGAGAGAAGGAAACAGAACAGGAGGAAGGATGTAGGAAGAAGCATCGAGGCATTTTGGGGACTTTGTTTCATATCCTTTGTTTCCTTTACCATTGACATCCGATCAGCAGAGTTTTGAGACGATTTTTATTTTATTTTATTAATATTTTTTGTTTTTCAGAGTTTTGGCTGCATTTTTTAATTTTTTATAGTTTTTAGTTCTTTATTTAATTTCTTTATTTCTTAATTTCTTTATTTTATTTCTTTCTTTATTTCTTTTTTTAAATCAAAAGTGTTTTAACCTTTAAGAGGCTTTTGTTGAAGTTTTTGGACAATTTTTTCAAAACGAATTTAAAATGCAGTTTCTGTTTGTTTTTCCTTTGATTTTATTTTGGTAGATTAGCTTTGATTTTATTCTGTTTTATTTTTACTCTTTCTCTTAATGTTATAAGATAAGATAAGATGACCTTTATTAGTCCCACGGGTGGGAAATTTGTTTTGTTACAGCAAAAGTGCAAAGTTATGTAGCAGAAATCATTGTTTCATGCTTTTGTGGTGTTTATTTTTTTGACTTACATTTCTCAGTTTGCTGTCTCCAGTGAGTTCCCTGATTGGCTGCGAAGAGTTTCAGGAAGTAGACGCAGACTTGTGGTGATGTTCGGGTTGCCGCGGTGACTTCAAGACACAGTAAAGTGAATATCTGAATCTTTGTGTTGATGCTGAAAGTCTGACAGTGATAAACGAGCTCGAGTGTATATGAAGGGGCTGCAGCTTTGTGAGGATGTGTGACAGCGTCCTGATGAAGAGCGTTCAGCGTTAAAGGTGTTACTCACGACTCAGACGGTGTTTGGAGCTGCTGAGGATAGATGACTGCTGGAGAGTCACAGCGAGGCTGTCAGAGGGGAGGGGGCACACCTTCTACCTAAACAACATGAGAGCTGGGGGAGGATATCCTCCATCCTTCCTCTGACCGTCCCCCACCACCTCCTTTCATCTCGTCGTCCTCCTCCCTTCCTTCCCCTCCCCTCTGCTGTTTATCAGCTTGCCCAGCCGGGCGACGCCCAGCCACTGCTAACGGCTGCTGTGGTTACGCTTGTCCTCAGAGTCAGCAGAGCAGCTTCACCCCCCCCCCACCGCTGTCCAACCATAAAATCTGACACCAGATCAGTGAGAGGAGAGCGCCCTCAGCTGAACCTGATCTGTGAACATGTGTGAGAGTCACAGTCACGGTTCTCCTCCAAACGTTACCCAGGAGCACGCTCAGATCCTCCCGCAGGAGGTCAAACAATATAAACTCATCCAGCAGCTTTAATTTATCTTAAAGGCCGAGAAGAAACCTGCTGTAAACACCTGCTTCTCTTAACGAGCTCCTTAATTCAATTTATACAGCGCCAAATCAAAGCAATGGTTGCCTCAAAGAACTACTGTGAGGTAAAAACACCAACAATCAGATGAACACCTATGATATACTTGCCGATGGTGGAAAGGAAAAACTCCCTTTTAACTGGATGAAACCAGGATCAGAGAGGAGGGCCCATCTACCATAACCCAGGGGGGGGGGGCACTGACGTTTAATGGTGGCCATGGCTTTGTTTTGATGAGCTCACAGAATTTGTTTCTGTTTCTGCTCGTTTTTTGGTAATAATGGAGTCAGACCATCGGGTGAAGTCATCTCCAGTTGGACTTGATAAATCCCAGCTTGATCTTTTTGGAGTACGTCTGTACCATTAGGAAGAAGGAATCTCTAAAGGAGAAACCAGCCTCCTTCAACTCAGTCAGCTGACCTCTGACTTGACCACCTGAAGCAACCTCAGACCTGCCCACACAGGCTGGTACAACAGGCCCGAGGCATGATGGGAGCATCACTTCTTACCCTGCTGCCCCCCTCGCTGTGGAGCAGGGTAAATCTGGATCAGCCCATGTGACCTTCTTCCTGTAAACTCCTTGTTTCTGATTGGCTACACTGATGCTAATGATTTCCTGATTTTAAAAAAAAATCCAGTTTCAAATGTTTCCGGTGACCTCAGAGATGATGGTTCACCTCTGCCCTTTCAGGGTTTTTAACACGTCTGATTTCAGCTTCAGTTTCTTCATCACTGTTTTCTTTGAACAATGCACGTAAGATCTCCTGGGGCCTCCTCTGTACCCAGGACATGCTGGAGAGATTGTGTCTCCAGATAAGCTGGAGGAGGTGGCCGGAGAGAGGGATGGTCTGGGCTTCTCTGCTTAGGCTGCTGCCTCAGCCACCCGGCCCCGGATAACACAGCATTAATAACATGAAGAATGATTTATCCTAAACTTTTAAGGTGGACTCAGTTTCCTGTTATCACATACATTTTTAGTTGTTTTATTGTAATTTTACAACATTTGCTCTAATAACCACGTGAGGCTGCCTTGACTGTATCTTGCGTGTGTTTGCACAATAATGATGAAGGCCGTGTCTGAAGGATGGAGGACAGTGAGGCAGCTGGAAGTGAAATGTTTAAACATGAAACATAAATGATCTAAAAGCAGGCTGACTTCGATGAATTATTCTTTATTAATGTTTCCTGCTTTAGTTTCACTTCATTATGTTTTATGACATTTTATTCTTGCACCGAGCAGGTTCGGGGATTAGGTCGGTTTTTCCAGCAGGACTTGGATAGAAATCACTCAGTTTGGTAATGAGGAACTGTTGGGAGGATTTTTCACCACTGTGAAATCCAACAAAAACAATCATTCACAAATACAAATGAAATAAGGACAATTAGGAGATACCACACACTGATGCAGACCCGATCAGGCTCCAGGAGGGACGCCCTCTGGAGCGCTCTTTTTTATTTTTCAATAACAGGGATAATTTTTGGACATTTTATTGTTTTATTTCTGTAGCTCGTGGTTTAAATCACTCTTCACTGCTTTTCTCTGCAGGAAGCTGAGGCTGCAGTTACAGCGGCTTGCTGAGTAAAAGTACTCGGTTACTTGACTGTGCTGAGTGTCTCTGAGGACTGACAGCAGGCCGAGTGCTCTGTGTGGCTGATAGTCTTATCACTAAGAGCTTTTATCTGCCATTAGCCCAAGCACACACACACTTAAACACACTTTACAGGCGCTGGGTGGATCCAGGCAGCGGCCTGCTTCACATTCACATCCCAGCAGCACACAGGCCAGAAACTCATAGACGGTCTGCAGCATGTCAGCCATGCTTTCACTGGTTTTCTGTTTGTTTTCTGTTAAAAAAGTCCAAATGTGTCATCTGAACAGAAAACAAACAGAAAAATGACTCACATAATGAATCAGATCATGAAAACAGCTGCAGACCAAATACAAGTCAAACGAGAAACACTGGAAGGTTTCTAACTGTGAAGCTACAGAAACACTCAGAAGGATCCACCACGGTGACTCTGTCAGAGGAGTCATCACCACTCAGGTCCGAACATCAGGTCTGAACCTGAACTCCAACCTGATCGGCAGATTCCAGGCACTGACTGAAAACTTCTCCATCTAAAATCTGATATCAGATTTTATTGGGAGCTCTTGGACTCATGATTGTAAACAACCAGAACCAATAAACCAATCAGCTGATGAATCAACAGCTCAAATCTAAGGAGCTAAGGAGAAATCGACTGGACTTCTGTAAGTTTCCTGAAAATGTTTCAGCTCCCATCCCAGAAGCCTCTTCACTCCAACAGTTCAGTGATGATCAGTAAATGACTTCCAGAGACTGATCCAGCTTCCTGTTAGAGAGCATTTCACTGATTCTGACGTTTTGTGGATTGAACTGATCGAGTTTCTCTGATTAATCAACGATAATAGAACTGATCAGTGCCATAGCGTCGCAGCTGCTCTCAGAGAGACCTCGGTGTCCAGGATCTCTGAGAGCATGAGGAATGTTAGCGATGATGACGATTGGTCCTCAGCTGCAGGTGTTTGGGCTACGATTGGCCGAGGGTGTTCTGGCTACTTCAGCGCAGCCTTAATGTCCCAGATGTTAGCTCTGCTTTGACATCATCACCACGTCTGGCCCAAAGAGCAGCTGATCTACTATCTCTTCAGGCAGCCTCATGGATCCCTGACTGACTCAGCTCTGCCTCTAATGGGCCAGGTGTAACTTTCTGACCAACAGCTGAGCCATAAATACCAAACACACCTGCAGCTCCTCTTAATCTGTTTGGAGGTAAACACTGAGCTCCTCCTGCCTCCTCCAGGAGCAGCAGTAGCATTTTCATCATTCCCTCATGTTTTAGAGAATGAATCAACTGCTGCTCCCCTCCTGGAGGAGGCTTTAAACCTCCTCCTCCTCATCATAATCATTTCTCTTTATTTTCTACAGCTCACAGAAACCCGACCCCCCCCTCCATCAGAACATCATACCGACAGATCTCCTTCCTCCTCTAAGAGGAGCAGAGCCGGTTTAGGCCCGAAAACACCCGAACACACACACACACATTGAACCTGAGACGCAGCGGAGGGATGAAGGAGCTCTGCGGTCGTGTGGCTGATCTGAGGCTTCATTACGCGGAGGAAGAGGAGGGTGAGGAGGAGACGAATGCGTCTGCAGCGACGCGAGACAAACAGAAAAGCGCACAGAGGGAGATCTTACCTCCGAGCAGGAGAATCAGGCTGACCGGAGATGAGAGGAGTGGAGGCGTTCCGTCCTCACAGCCCCGACAGGAGGAGGAGGAAGGGTGGAGGGAGGAGAAAAGGAGGAGGTGGCGGCTGGCTGGTTTTAAAGCGCGGGCTGGGGGCTGCTGTGACCCCAGCAGGAGGAGGAGGAGAAGGAGGAGGATGTTTTCCTGTTGCCCGGGTCGGTCCACTGTGGAGCTCCGCGGGGGGAGGAAACGTTTGTGACGTTCGCATTAAATAAAATCATAAATACGTAAAAACAGGAGCTCAGCACCGAGAAACCGAAGCTTCATGCTCCAACCAATCAGAAAGAGCCAGAAAAAAACACCAACCTCACCTGATTTACTAAAAAAGACACCAAACAAGAAACATTTACAGTGATCAGAGGGAACTCTGTTTATCTGATTAATACGGGAAAATATTACGTCTGATTACAAAAATGACAGCACAATGTACCACCCTCTGTGGAAGCCCAAGTCTGCCAAAAAAGCAAAGCCACTCCCAAGTTTTTATTTATTTTATTATTTTTTTATTTACAGAGGATATAGATTTGATTTATTTATTTACATCAGGTACATTTTTAGATCAAATGTCCAAATGTTGGCCTGATGGTGTGAGATACTACCAGCACTGACAATAACAATAACATATTAAATATCAGTGTTCATACATTACGTAATTATAGATTCATTTGGAAAAAAAAAATTAGACAAATTATTATTATTTTCTATATTTTTTAATATTTACACATGTGATATAGTGACAGCCCTATTTTATAAAATTCTTATAACCACTTATACCCCATATCTTCAGGGTTGAGGAGTCAAATAACAGCATAATAATATTTTTAATCATTACAAAAAACTTAATTACATTTTAAAATAATTACAACATTTACACATTTTGAGATTAAATTGCGGTTTTAGGGAAAAAAATAAAATTTTGTTCAATGATATTACTTTTTTAATTTAAACAATTTTCATAAACTATAGGGATATCCAAATTCTTAATTTTTTAGCATAAAATGAAAATAACATAATAATAATAATTCAAAATTATGAGATCATGTGTTCTGAGACTGAAACATTGAACGTTTTAAACCATGATTAAATCTCTTTGTCAATGTCTTTGTATTTTACTACTGTAATCATATTTTTCAGTTCATTGGTCCTGTTTATGTCTGCTTACCATGATAATATTGTGATTTAACACAAATCCGTTTAAACGTTACTCTGAATTAAAAAAAAAACCCCAAAAAACCCCCCCTGTTTTGGACCTAGAAATGAAATTCATTCAGTTACCACAGGGGGGCAGCACAGACTGCAGACTGTATTAGTGAGTAATTGCTTCAGATCGATCACTGTTATTTATTTATTTTTAAACAAATGAAATAAATTAGATAAATAAAACATTTAATTAAATATTTTCACGTGTTCATTACATTTAGGAGCACAAGATAACACAAGATTACATATGAAGTAAATTCATAAAATATTATTAAAAATAAAAATTAGATCCATATAAAAATGAAAGCAAGCAGTAACAAACATAGTTATAAATAGAATTAATTTAGATATAAAGAAACAAAGATAGATTATAATTATAATTATTTATTTATTTTAACAAAAACATATAATCAATCATATAATTTCTAATCTCATTGGTGGTTATTTTAAACGATATAACATTTACACAATGAATTTAATAAAGTAATTATCATATAAATGTTATATACTTTTCATTCAGTTTTATTTGTTTAATTGTTATTGATTAAATTTAATAATTAAGTAAAAAATAATAATTCACTGTTTTTGGTTTTGAGGGCAGTAGATATTCTTTTTTCCTTTTGTCACTCATTTTTTTCATTTTACCCTCTTTGGACTTATTTAAATTTAATTTATTAAAAAGTAAATATTAAGATAATATGGCCCTTTAAATGTTGTGACGTGACACGGTGTTAAAGTTGAGATCAGAGATCGTAAAAAAAGAAGATGAGTCACTGTTGATCGGTCGCCGGGACCCACGCAAGACACAGCGCATGCGTGGTCTCTGACAGTGGTCCATCTTTAACGCGTAGACGATCTTCGGTTGGGAGACATGGCGTCAGACAACGGACTTGCCGCTCTGGTACGACTTTAACTGTGAAAACCCGCGCGTGTGTGTTCGTGTATTGGTGATGTTTGTGAAGTGATATAACGGAGACGCTGAAATGAGGCAGAGATACGCGCGGTTTATCGACGCAGCTCGAGATGGTTAGCTAACAGCTAAAGGTAGCTAGCTGAGAGAATCACACGTGCAGGGAGCGATGAGCTCTGACCTTTTACCTCTGTGTTCAGCTCGCTCACTGATAAAATGTTTTGTGTGATAAAAACTGTAGAGAGTGTTAGGGCTGCTCGCCACGTGCAACACTGCTCTGTGCGTAACGCCGTCACGTGGTCAGTGTGGGTTTGTTTATTCCGGAAGTAAGAGACTGATCACCTGATTTGTGTTTATGAACAAACAGCTGAATGTTTAAAAAAAAAGTCTAAACTTAATGCACTTATTTTATTTTTATTAGCAGGAAGTTGATCAGAGGGTCGTGGTCACACAGGAAGTTTATCAATGTCAGGC